TCTGGCTATATTGACATTCTCAGGTTCTTGAGGAAGAATGTTAATTTACCTGGAGTCAAACTGGATTTTCTTTAGTAGTGTAAAAATGGTCCACTGCATTAGCTAAGTATGTTAAAACCAGCTCTATTACATTGAGTTCCCAAAGGCTGGGCCAAATCTTCATGACCTTTCCTACCAGATGTCCTTTGTTGAAGGAGAAACTTGAAAAAATTATATAAGCCAAAGATAGTTCCTATCAGGGCAGGTAAAGTGAAAATATCTTCTCATGCTAAAGCTGCCAGCTTCCCAAGTAGAAAACACTGTCAGAAAAAAAAAGTTACAGTGAGATCAAGAAAAAGTTAAATTGGCTAAATGTGCTTTAAAATGGCCCATAAGTCTAAAAGCCTTTCCTCTTCCTCTTTCTGGTAATTGAGAGACAGAGGCAAGCTCTGCTCACACAACTTGGTGCTTCAAGAACGGCAAAATGGTGGATTCTCAAGCGGGTTCCTGGACCCAAGCATCAGCATCAATGGAGAACTCCTTAGAAATGCAAATTCCCAGACTCTGCGAGGGGTGGGAGTTGGGGTGGGGGTGGATGGAGGACAAGCAGCAATCTTTTCTTAAAAAAATCCTCTAAGTGATTCCAATGCCTGTTAGCTTAAGAATCGCAGATGTAGACAATGCAATCCTAGGTCTCTGGGTGCAGAATAATTAGGGTCTGTCCGTGATGAATGAGGTGATCTTGTTCAAGTTACTTAACCTTTTAGGCTTTAATTTCCTCATCTATAAAATGAAGATAACATACTTCCTAACTCACTGGAACACTGGCAAGAAGATACTACATAAAAAGAGTTTGGCAAGATGTTTGACATACACTGAACACTCATTAAATGTGAACAATTATTTCTCTACTATGGAGGTAATCACAGCTTTGCTCATTCATTTATTTAATTAACATTTACTGAACATTTATCACATACTGTACATTGAAATCACCCAGAGAATTCAGATATAATCCCATTGCCTGGGCCCCAATTCATTCCAAAACATAAAGAATGAAACCTGCAAACAAAAGCTACAGCCAAATGTACAGTGGCTGGATGATCCCAGAGACGCTTCTGGAGAGACATCTTTTCCCCAACAGGCTTCTTTGGTGTCTGCTTCTCCTCTGCTTTACTGATCTTAGGAGGCACAAGCCATGTCTTTCTAAACTCCCTCTGCATGATTCCATGTCTGACAAAGAGTAGAAGGAGAAGCTTGTCCATGCAATGAGAAGTGAGTCGTATTTCTAGAACTGGGCCCTCCAACTCCTGGAGCACAGTATGACAAGACTGAAGAGTAATTATACAGCCATCCTGTTCATAACAAACTCTCATAAATGTACATTTCCCCGAACACATCGCCCAAGCCTCAAGGATAGACATAGTGGTTTTGCTCACCAGTTACCAAGGCGAGGAGTGACATGGCAAAGCTTTTAGATTAATTAAAAGAGACACCCAGGCACACTTCATGCCATTCTTTAATCTCCATTCTCCTGTGATAAATATGGAATGACAAGAACAGGCCCAGGCTAACAAGCTAGAGGCAGGGCCTATGGAGACTCAACAAGCAGCCCTCACAAACCACAGCAGGGCCCAGGGCTCTGAAAAAGGAAGAAGAGGAAAATGAACAACATGACTCCACTGTGTTGCTGATGGGTCACCAAAAGAGTGCTCTGAAGGAGCATCTTCCCTTTCTGTGACTAGTAGCAATTAAAACAACAGATTAAAGAGACAACAGCAGCTATTATAATTAAGCAGTCAAAGAAAAATGATAACAATTATGATTCATTGAAGGTATTCTAGCATCAAGCACTGTGCTAGAGGTTTCTAATGCAAAATTTCATTAGGCTGTGACAGCCTCAAAGATCCTTGCCTCCTAGCATACATAATCTGGTGTACCCTTTTCACATGGAATCTGTGTTGACTCCAAGGACTAACTGAAAATGATAGAGGTAACTACCTCTCTCTTTGACTTGTCTGAGGTCAGATCATGAAAGACATCACCTCTTCCCACACAACTTCTCAGATCACATGCCAGCACCTTGTCAAGTGGACACTCAGGCAAGGACTACACACAGAGGAAAGAAAGTGCCAGCCATGTGACAAGGCCACTTTGGAAGTAGGCTTTCCCATTCTCATCTGGCTCTGGAGTCTTTCAGCTGAAGTGTCAGATGGCACAGATCAGACAAAAGCCATCACCACTAGGTTCTGTTGGAATTCTTGATCCAGAGTCTACTAGATAACAGTTGTTTTGAAAATTAAGTTCAAGTCAGGCATGGTATCACATGTCAGTCATGCAGCACACTGGGAGACCGAGGTAGGAGGATGATAAGTTTGAGTCAATAAGAGCCTATCTCAAAATAAAAAGAGCCGGAGACATAATTCAGTGCAGAAGTCCTGGGTTCAATCCCCAGTACTGAAACAAAAATTTTCCCCCTGTGGTATTTAATTACACAGAAATAGAGAACTAATACATACTGAATCCAGGTTTACAGATTTGGGAGTCCCAGCTCTATTCGGTCATGCTACTCCCAACAGATAAACATGAGGCGTGCAACCTAATTCCCATTCCTTTTGTTAGGGGAAAAGCAACCATTTGATAGAAATCCTTCAAGTGCTTCGGTTGCCTAAAGATACTGTGCTTTTCCTACATGGCACCTGCCATTCCACCTTGTAATTTAGTCATCTCTGCATGAATAGAACTTCCTGATGGACAGGATTAGTGGCTTCCAGATAGTGCTGTAAGTAGCAGAAAGGTAGGGCTAGGACACTGTGCTCATCTGGTGGACTCTGGCATCAACCTGCCTGTTTTAGCACCTCTGCTGTGCCGCTTCCGGGTGGGTGATCTAAGCTTCATGGGGCCCAAGTCTGTCACTCTTACAAACAGGGCCAATGTTAACACATACCCTTGTTTGTACTGAACTAGAAAAATACTCATAAAGTACTCAGTACATGGCTCAGAGCGAGTGTTCAAGAAATGTTACCCATTTGAATTATTATTATCAAATAAGTGCTGAAACACTTCCCAACATTTTAAACGAACCAAGCAAAGCTCAGGTCCAGTGAAACAAGTGGTTTTCTGGGAGGCAGTCACTAGGCTGGCCAAGTTGCCAACGCTGAGGCCATGACTCCTGGGGTCCATCTTGCCCTGGTAGCATAATAAGAGTGTCAGGGAAAGCTGCCATGGGTTTCTACCCTCCAGTGGGACATTCACAGACAGCAACTTGGCTTTTTCCTGAGAAGAAATGGAAAGTCACATAAACAGGGCTTTACAGCTACTTTTGCCCCCGTCTTATTTCTTAATCCCATTATATTCTTATCATTTTGTCAATGCAGACAAAACTGCTTAGCTCCTGCCAACACTTGCTCCAATGCCTTCCCTTGTGGCTCACTCCATCTTGGTTTTAATAAGCTGTCATGTGTCTTATTGTCCCCTTAGGTGAATCCTACTTAAATATATCATGATTCCCACCTTGCCTTGTGCTTTGCTTTATGTCTCCTTTCTTTTCCCCCTTAACCATGAGAGAGCTTTCTGTGTAAAATTGTGTTCAGAGTCTAAAATACTTCCACAACCTCCTACTTCTAGGTAAGACCAAGAAAGAAGGAATTGGGAAGCATACCAGCTGCAGCAGCCCACCCCCAAATAAGCACAGATGGTTAGCTTTGCAAGGGGCTGAGTTAAAAAGGATCAAAATGTAGAGCCTATCTTCAAAAGGTGCACTCCCCTATCTAGAGGAGATTTTGAAACAGTACTAATAACTAGATTAAAAAGTGCCAAGTGGTGAATGCCACGAGCAACACAGATGCAAGCCTGGGTACCACTGGAAGGGCAAACGTGGGCGGAAGACTTGCAGAGAACTCAGTGTTGGGTAAAAACAAGAGGAGAGCAGAGACCACAGGAGGCAGAGAAGGGCAGGGAGAGTGCTCCAGAGAGGATAAATGAAAGGCAAGGAACCAGAAACGGGTGGGAAGATAGGGGAAATACTAGGGACTCATGTTCTTTCATCATTCTGGAGACATTCTGTAGCAAGTCAAGGACTGGGATTACAGAAAAGCAGTATCACACTAGAAAATACTCTGGCAATGTTGAGCAATAAAAATTTTCAAGAAAGAAAGAGTAAAGAATGTTTTGTAGATCAAATAGGTGGCATCTGAATTTCATTATTAAGAATAAGTAGTATTGATGGCGAATGCCTGTAATCTCAGCCACGTAGGAAGCTGAGGCAGGAAGATCACAAGTTCAGGGCCAGCGTAGGCAACTTTGCAAGACTTTGTCTCAAAATAAAAAATAAAAGGGTCTGAGGACATAGCTCAGTGCTCCCTGGACTCAGTCCTCCATACCACAAGAAAAGAAAAGTAAAGGTAATGTATTTTAATCCATTTCTCAGTAATCATGAAGTTGAAACCTAAGAGTACAGAAGTACACTTCCACAGGAGGTAGTGTCACATGAACTGACAGTTCACTCTTTCCAACATATTAAGCAAGCCTCTCTCATCTTTCACTTGAGCCACTGAACTAATTATGAATGAAACATTTTCTACTATTTTTCTGGTCCATGTTTAAAAACTAATACCCACAGGGAGAGGGCACACATTAGATGACATAGTCAGGAGTCTGTTACTTGTCAGCAGTGTCATTTCAAGAATTTCCAAGCACAATTACAAGCTAGTCTTAGGTTGGCTGGACCTTAGTATAGTTTTCTATCCTCTGGTCCAACTTAGAAACTATCATACAAAGTGTGTTCTCTCAAACAGGATTTCTGTGAATTAGAGATCCTTTCTCATTCTCTTTATAGTCAAAGAGCTACTTTTTAAAAAAAAAAATCCAGAAAATATTATACATCACTAACTAATTTTATATGGTGAATTTTATGACAGAAACACACCTCAAATCACCATTTCTGTGCCTCCCAGTGCCAACAAATTGTCCCCATACAAGACAAGACAGGATGGCATGGCTCCAGCCCAGGCTTAGCTTACCATGTACCACATGCTGGGCCACTTGGGATCATTGAAGTAGGTAGATTGGGTACGACTGAGGTCATAATCCCGCTTTGTCCGTTTCTTTACCACTTGCTGTTGGATCCATTCCACCTGCCAAGAGGAAGAACATTTGTTGAGTGTTCAAGTTCCATCAGAGTGAACATAACATAAATGACAGTCTAAAGCATTTCCCATTTTGACTCAATGTGAGTTAGGTCATAGGCTTCATTGTGGCAACTAAAATCTCTCAGTCTAGAAGCTCAGTGATTCCCTAGAAACCTAAGACTTTTTCATTTTCAATGTAAGCAAGCAGTTTAGTCTTTCAGAGACAGATAATTTTTCTCTCTCAATAATAAGCTAGGTTTTTAGCTTCTTCAGAGAGCATAACAATGTTAATTTTTAAGGTATCTTGGCATTCTTTATACCAAGGGTTGGCAAACTTTTCTGTTCAAATACTAAATATGTCAGGCTTTGCAAGTCATATGGCGCCTGATCCAATTGCTCATTCCACCACTGTAATACAGTACCACAGGCAGCACATCAATGAATTGGTACGACTGTGTTCTAGGAAAACTTTATATACAAAAACAGGCTGGATTTGAAACAATGTGTTCCTGATGTCGATGCATCAAAGTTTTAAATGTTTTGGGATCATATATTAAATTTTAAAAACATCATGGGACCAAATGCTTTAGGAGCACATATTTTTTTAAATGGCTTTCTATAAGCCAAAGTGTGGTGGGAAAGCACTATTTGGGGAATCAGAAACCTAAAGCCTTAGTACTATCTCTGGCACAAAATTGGAGAAGGCACTCAATTCCTGAGCCACAAGCTTCTTGCCTGCTCTAAAGCTCAAACCTGCAACCTTTGAGAAAAATCCTAACACTTAACCATGACCTGTTCCTAAACAAAGTGACTGGGAACCTCAAGTTTAGTACAGGATCTGTACCCTTATGGTAGGGCTAAATGAGGGATAACTCTTTTTAAAGAGAACAGGTCACCATCATCATGGAAACATAAAAATCAGCATGTTCTAGTTTAAAGGGGGTGTCTCAAATGCACTATCAGCTCTGTAAGCATTCTTTAATTTGTTCCTAAATATTTCTTTGATTGACTTCTCCTAGTGATAGTAAATTTAGTCACAATGTTCTGAGATGTCTTATTCAGCCATTTGTCCCCACTTTCTACACAGGAATTAAAAATTGGGTTGGGGGAGACTTTGTAATACACTGCTATAATTCCATACAGACAAATTTCAGTACCTCTCTTGACTAATCAATTCAAGGATTGCTGGAGGAAAAGGAATACTAAAGTACCCTTTTCAATCAAAGTACAGCAGCAAGTATGGGCATGAATGTACATTATCTGTTTCCAAGAAACATTTTAGTCTCTTTAGGTTCTAAAAAATGAGTTTCACTTTCTAAAAATGAGTTTCATTCCCTTAATTATTTATTAAGAATTAAGTGCCAGGCACTGTGCTGGAAATACAAAAAGGAATAAGAATTGCCTTTAATTTTGAAGGACTCACATTTTACCAGGGAAATTTAGCAAGTATTTCTCCATTCTCCACTTCATAAAAATATAATTATCTCCTTCAATGATATCTGACACAGGCCCTGTGACTTTATTATTTAAGCCATTTATGATAAATTTGACTATGCAACTTGTATTGGTAGTCCTTACCTGTATTACCATCTGCAAGTCTCACCCCAATAAAGTTGAACTAGCTCATTTTTGCATTTTGATAAAAGAAGTCTGCAGGTCTGCTTAGGCAGAACTCTTCTCAAAACTAATCTTACACTGGCAATGTCCTTTCCCAAAGGAGCCTTCACAAATCCCAAACTGCCAACACATACGTGTGCACAAACCGGAAAGTATCAGATGTCACCAGCATGGACTACACAAATAAACTCCTATAGCGGTCAGGACAGTCTACAATGGAGTGGGAGTGGATAATTGTTCCTTCAATGACACAAGCATGCATGTCTCCCCGGACTCATGCACAAATAGACAAATGGGATAAGTATGAGAGAAAATCAAGTGACAGCCATTTTCCTAGACAAACTGTAGGTTCTAAAACAGAACAAAATCTCTTAGCAAACAGTATCTCTTCTGTAATTTTACCAAACACAGAGGCTTAGTTATAGGGCTTGGCGCCTCGAAGATAGCACAGCCACTTGGCATCTAGATTTGACTGCACATCACTCTGTCTGATCTCAGAGCTGTAGTACTTAAAAAAAGTCCGGGAAGATTTCTTTTTAGTGTCAAATACTATGTATTTTGCTTTGGTGCTTTATGAGTATGCGTCCATAGCCTTGTATTTTTTGGAGAACAAGAAAAGCACCTCTTGAATCAGAAGGTTTCTATGACTGGAAAGACCACACTTACATTTTTAAACTATTGTCCATATGTCTACCCTTGAGTTCTTTTAAAAAAAATTTTGGGGTAATGCATTATGCAGATTTGATTTCTTGCCAAGAAGCCCAATGCAAGGAAACAACACTTAAAAATCATTTTCATACAACTATGGTCTGCCCTGGAAAAGAGAAAAATCATATGCTTTCCCTCACTAGCTTGACTTCCTTCTGAAAGCTCTATTTCCTACGCACTGAGGAAATGCCATGAACCAGAGTGTGAAATGACAGGACCTGTAAAATCACGTCTCTCCGCCACCGATTTCAGTATGCAATTGTCACCAGGCTTTATGGACATGGCTTTCCTGTCCTCACAGAACCCTTCTGCTTTACAGTCCAAAGAAACCCTGAACCATTGCTCCTTAGCAACCTTTGTCCAAAGATGTCCTCTTTTGTCAGATCTCACTTGCCAAGCAAAACACAGTACTGATAATTATGGGAAGCCTGCCCTTAAAATCTCAGCTGAATGTGTGTCTTATTTTTGAACTTAGCAGCTTTCCAATACTACACATGGGGCAGCCAATTTATCAACAACAGGAAAAAAACAAGATGTTACCATATGAATATTGACTACATATTATTGCAGAAATATAAATGGGAAATAAATTACAGAATTACTCTTAAAATGTGTTCTTTGCTAAGGAAGAAATCAGTTCTTTTATAAAATATATTATAGCTAATAATTAGAACATATACTGGTAGCAAATGTCAGCAGATACAACAATAAAATGAAATGAACGGTAAAGAAATTTACCGAAAGCATATAAAAAGATGGTATATAAAAATAGCACTATCCTAAATCAATAAGAAAAAAAACCCTCAGAAAACAAATTACTTGTTGCTGGAACAACCACCATGGGAAAAAGAAAGTCCAGGACATTCTCGTGAATTAGATTGAGATCAATTTCAAATGAGTCAAATGTTTGAATGTAAAAGCCTGGCGTGGGGGTGCATGCCTGTAATGCCAGCAGTCTGGAAAGTTGAGGCAGGAGGAATTCAAGCTTGACCCCAGCCTGGGCAACTTAGTGACTAAGCAAGATCCTGTCTGAAAATGAAAAATAGAAAGGGCTGGGTTTATAGCTCAGTGCAAAGGCCCTGCATTCAATCTCCAATACTACAAAAATAAAACCATAAAAATACATAAGAAATATGGCTCCTATATTTAAAAAGAATAATTTTAGAGAAGATGCTTATCAAAATACAGTGTGAATTTATAAGTTGATTTAGCAAAATTTATAAATTTATCTACCAAATAAATCAAAATCAAGGTAAACTGAGCAAAGTTTACAGCTCCCACCACAGACAAAAGGCTCTATTATATAAGGATTTTCTATAATTGGCAAGTGACTAATTCAATAGGAAAATGGGCAAAGTACGTAACTATGAAAATCTTCGGAAAGGAAAATCAAGTTTAAACATATAAAAATGTGTTTGTCCTAATGAATACTGCTGTGGTTTAGATATGGATTCTGCCCCACCCCCAGGGTTGTGGCCCCCAGGGGGGCAGTGTTGGGAGATGGTAGAACCTTAAAAGGAGGTCCCCAGGTCAATGAGGGGGGCACACCTTGAAGAGGATTGTGGGAGCTTTTTGTGCCCCCCTTCCCTGTCTCTCCCTTCGCTGCAGTTATTCCTGCTCGCGCTCCCAACATAAGCCCCGTATGACACCCTCACCAGAGGCCAGACCAAGAGCCAGGCCCACCCCTCACCCCACATCCCACCTCTGCCCTCTCTGCCCCGGCCTATAGATCTCCAACTTTGAACCTCCGAAACTGAGCTATTGAAATCTTTTTCTTTACAGGTAGCCTGGGTCAGATGTTTCATTATATTGACAAAAAACTGATATACATTTAAAGACAAAAAGCAAACTAAACTAAGATATCACTTTTTATCTTTAAGATTTATAAACAATCTAAAGGTTGATAACATTGTAGTGATGGCCTCAGAAAAAGACATGGTGTGAGGAATGTAAATTTGTACAACCCTATGGAGTATAAATCAGCCAAAATCTACAAAAATGACAAAACAGGCAATTCTACTTTTAGGACCACATCCTACCTATTTATTTACAGAAGCAGTTGGATTTGGAGAGCTTAGTCATCTTAGATTTGCCATCAGTCATCTACGCAATCTTTGTGGACCTCTTTTTTGCTGTAAAATGAGGGAAGGCAGATTATCTGGTCACTTTTTTTTCTAGCTTTGAAATTTTACCTACACCCAGTTTGACTGAGTCAACATATACATAATACAACAGAGTGCAATGCAACCATTGCATTGAGAATAAAAGAGAGTGAGGTTGATTTTATATACTGACTACATCATACTACATGTGTGACACAGTGTAAAGAAAAAAAAGGAAAGAAACAGTCAACAAAGGACACTACAATTTTTACATCTCTCTGAAATGATACACAATGAACCTGATAACACTGGTTGCTTTATGGAAGGAAAACTAGGTATCTTGCAAAAAAGGATAAGAGGCAAACCTTTCTTACATGCCCTTTTGATCTTGGGTTTTTTGTTTTGTTTTATTTTGTTTTTCTGTTTTTGAGATAAGGTCTCACTCTGTTGTCTAGACTTGTCTTGAACTTAATATGTAGCTCAGACTGGCCTCGAACTCACTGCAGATTACTACAGCATGTGCCACCGTGCTCAGCTTGACATTGTATCTTTTTTGGTTGTGTTAGGCAGTATCTTACT